GGCTCTCTTTTACACACTGTTGACAAGTACTGGGCATGTACTGGCTCTCTGTTACACACTGTTGACAAGTACTGGGCATGTACTGGCTCTCTGTTACACTGTTGACAAGTACTGGGCATGCTGGCTCTCTGTTACACACCGTTGACAACTATATAACACAGGTATATTAGCGATAAATAGTCGTTGTCTATCCTAAAAAAAGATAAATAATCACCTCCCAGCAGATGGTACTTGATAACCTGGTCTAGTCCATCCTGGGTTTTCATACGAGTATCTAGCAAATACACACACACACACAACACACGTACATACACACACGTACATGTCTACACGTCTACATATATTCATACATACACTGTTTATGATTTAGGGGCTTTATGAAGCGTAATTGACTTTGTTTTGCATTTAATTATACACTTTGGCTAGATTAAGTATACAGAGTGTGTTATATATTGTAGTGAAGATGTTATTAAGTGAATTAAATACAAAAGATGGTCTGTAAGTAATAACTGATATTTATTGTTAGTTATATTCAAAGTAGTTATTGTTTTAGTATTGTTATTTAAAAGTTACTGGGGAAATTATTTACATATTGTGATTTCTTTTATGATATATATGTAATAGTCGATTATATATGGATCTGTCAGGTATAATGTGTTCTATATGGTTAACGGGACGCCTCTATAGATACTGTACTCTACCACCTTCACTTTCTCAACTGTATCGTCAGGCACACACACAAAGACCATACCTCCTCCCCCCCCTCCCCCATTATCTTTAGGAAGATTTACAACCGCCAATTGCCAGGGTCATTAAGTAATTGAATACAGGTAGTTAGTGTTGGACAATAGAGTCGTTTAAAGTAGCTAGGGTCTCATAAAAGTGTAATTATTTGGGTTAAATTAGTGTTAAGGTTTTTAATAATCAAGTAAAATAACCTGGGGTGTCTAATCTTCAGTGAATCCATATATGTTAATTCTTATTAAGTTATCCATCATTATAACACAGAAAACGTACTTAAATATGTCATAGAAAACGTAGTCAATTACAGCACAAACGCTTCTAAAAACAACTAAATTCCAACTTTTTATAAAGAATTTTAATCTGTTAACTGCTCATTAAAATGCTCTAAGAGAATCCTGTTTTAAAATGACCCCTAATCACCAATTCTGTGACCCGTGAAGCGTTCATTGGATAGTTTTTTGTGATAGAAAATGCAACTAGTGTACTGACCACTCACAGTTACCCAAGTTATAGGAGAAATTTACAATAATATTTTTTCACTACATTAAGTTTATATTCTTAATGTTTCGTTCGTTATAAGTGACTGGAATTATTTGAAGTTTATTATATCATGGGACTGGATTCTAATAGGTAGGTTTAGTAGTGGGAAATTAATGTATAAGTAACGATAATTTAGGGGGTTCGATTTTCATTTGTCTATTAGGATTAGATTCGACTTTCATTTGTTTTATGTTGGGATTAGATAATTTATTCAGCTCGTGACGTCATGTTGACCTGACCAATAGAGTTTGACCTTTTTATAACGAATAATAATAACTAAAATAACCTAACTTTAGATCTATTAATGAGATAATTAATAATTTATCTTATTTTTTTTAGTAATTGTTGATGATTATAATTGTTTGTTTGTTGTTGTTTACTTAAAGGTGTAACTTGTCTTGAGTGTAAACAATAATATTCCCAACAGGTGTTTTATAGTTGCCTGGTGTCATTAATTGAATCTTTTTTTCATTAATAATTTAAAGATTATATGAGTTTTTGGTTATATAATTTGGTGTAATATAATAGTAGTAGTATAATTAAAATGATGGTTGGATTATTTTGTTGTTCATTAAAGTTTGTGAAATAAAATTATTTGAGTAAGTGATAACAGTTGGAACCTGCTGAGCTGGCCAATCAGGTCGTCACATCTCGGTACTGATGCCGTCTTATTTGTCACTTAGAAACCCGATATTTAACCACTATTTACCACAACATTAACCTTTGAACATTTAAAAACTCACCTGGTTAATGTTTTATAGCCTCAATAACCTTAGTGATATTTAAAGTAAGAGATAAAGGTAATAATAATAGTTATTTAATGGACTCGTTGGCAACTCAGGTAATGGGATTTTAATTCCATCTCAGACCCAAGCCCAGTCAGTGTGTTGCCAACCTCAGTGGAGTGTGGATGTGCGCGGCGCCAGTGCTCGGAAACTCATACCCCGCTCTCTCACGTCTTATAACCAAATTTCGATTATATACCCTGGGCATTATAACCACGTGCCCCCTATAATTACAATGGTATGTTAGACGAGTGTATAATGGTAGTGTTGTGGGGATAATGGAAGAAGAGTAGGTTTTCTGGCGGTACACGGTATGACAAGTGAAAGTATTGGGAGTCCGCCTCAAGTAAAGAATTTATTAACATTTTATTTCAATGTTTCTTTACTACTTCCTGGATTTAATTTTGTTTTAGAAAATATACAAAACTATTTAAACTTTTACATAATGTTGATTTTAATTCCTGGGGATTTTATTTTTGGAAAGATTTTAAACGTGGGATTATATTTCGTATTTAATTATAAAAACTAAAAAATCCTTCAAAAATATTATAGTTTGACCTAAAAATCACCTATATGGAGTTTAATTAATTTCTCTATGTAATTTAGTAGACAAAATATTTATTGTGAACTTAAGAAAATACTTTGGAAAATATATAAAATACGTAGGGATTTTGTATACTTTTACTTTGATATAAAATTCCTGAATATTTTAAAATTTTAGGTTTGTGTGATTTTATTATTATTATTATTATTATTATTATTATTATTATTATTATTATTATTATTGTTATTATTATTATTGTTATTATTATTATTATTATTATTATTATTATTATTATTATTATTATTATTATTATTATTATTTTGTTATTATTATTACTAATATTAATATTATTATTATTATTATTATTACCACCACAACAACCACCATCATATACCACCACAACAACCACCATCACATACCACCACCACAACAACCACCATCATATTACCACCACCACAACAACCACCATCACTATTACCACCACAACAACCACCATCACTATTACCACCACAACAACAACCACCATCACTATTACCCACAACAACAACCACCATCACTTTTACCACCACAACCACCATCACTATTACCACCACAACAACAACCACCATCACTATTACCACCACAACAACAACCACCATCACTATTACCACCACAACAACAACCACCATCACTATTACCACCACAACAACAACCACCATCACTATTACCCACAACAACCACCATCACTATTACCACCACAACAACAACCACCATCACTATTACCACCACCACAACACCATCACTGTACCACCACAACAACAACCACCATCACTATACCACCACCACAACAACCACCATCACTATTACCACCACAACAACAACCACCATCACTATTACCACCACCACAACAACCACCATCACTATTACCACCACAACAACAACCACCATCACTATTACCACCACCACAACAACCACCATCACTATTACCACCACCACAACAACCACCATCACTATTACCACCACAACAACAACCACCATCACTATACCACAACAACAACCACCATCACTATTACCACAACAACAACCACCATCACTATTACCACCACAACAACAACCACCATCACTATTACCACCACAACAACAACCACCATCACTATACCACCACAACAACAACCACCATCACTATTACCACCACACAACAACCACCATCACTATTACCACCCAACAACCACCACCACAACAACCACCATCACTATTACCACCACAACAACAACCATCACTATTACCACAACAACAACCATCACTATTACCACCACAACAACCACCATCACTTACCACCACAACAACAACCACCATCACTACCACCACAACAACAACCACCATCACTATTACCACCACCACAACAACCACCATACTATTACCACCACAACAACCACCATCACTTTACCACCACAACAACAACCATCATCACTTACCACCACCACAACAACCATCACTATTACCACCACAACAACAACCACCATCACTATTACCACCACAACAACCACCATCACTATTACCACCACAACAACAACCACCATCACTATTACCACCACAACAACAACCACCATCACTATTACCACCACCACAACAACCACCATCACTATTACCACCACAACAGAACCACCATCACTATTACCACTACAACAAACACCACTATTACCACCACAGCAACCATCACCATACCACCACCACAACAACCATCCACTATTACCACAACAACCATCACTATTACCACAACAACAACCACCATCACTATTACCTACAACAACAACCACCATCACTATTACCACCAACAACCACCATCACTATTACCACCACCACAACAACCACCATCACTATTACCACCACAACAGCCACCATCACTATACCACAACAACAACCACCATACTATTACCACAACAACAACCACCATCACTATTACCCACAACAACAACCACCACTTACCACCACAACAACAACCACCATCACTTACCACCACAACAACAACCACCATCACTATTACCACCACAACAACAACCACCATCACTACTACTACCACAACCACCATCACTATTACCACCACAACAACAACCACCATCACTATTACCACCACCACAACAACCACCATCACTATTACCACCACCACAACAACCACCATCACTACTACTACCACTACCACCACCACAACAACCAC